CGACAGCAAGGACGTTGACGACCATTCCGGCACCGATCGAGGTCGCACACCGAAAGTAAAAGCTCTCGAAAATGTCGACACGGACGCCGTCGAGACGCTCGACCGTGTTGACCAAGTCGAAGGTCACCGAGTTGTTGTACTCGATGAAGGGCGGGACGTAAAAGAGTAGAATGGCCGAGAGGTACAGAGACAAGACGCTGGAATAGTTGAGAAGAGCCATGAGGCGACTCTCGCCGCAGTACGACGCGCCGCCGATAATGTGCCAGAGGATCTTGGCAAGCTTGAGAAACGCGCAGTTGAGCCAGAGCAAGCGCGTGCTCAGCGAAAAGGTCCGAAAGGTCGCGTCAAATTGCTTTGCATAGGTGTTGTAGACGTGTACGTTGCGGATAAAGATGAGACAATTCTGCAAGTCAAAGAGGACACTGCCGCTGTAGAGAAACACGAAAATGTCGGAATTGTAGCAAAACATTGCGTACGGGAGCGCGTGGGACAGGTGGGGAAAGTACTTGGGCATGACCGTGCGAAGGAGCCGCGTCCAGAGCGAGCTCGTCTTGGTCACATCGACTTCGAGCCACTGGACTGTCCGGCGGCTCGCGAGATACCCGCCAACCGCAAAGAAGATGGCGACCAATTTGGCCCAGAGTGCGACGATCCCAAACGAGCTCCGCGGAAGCATGAGGCCAAGTTCGTACGTGGAGCCGGGTACGTACACCGCCGATGTCACCGTGAGTGTCTTGGCGCTGTCGTTGTACACAAGTGTCAAGTTGCACATGCTGTAGCCTATCTCGGACACCGGGTCACACCCCGAGCAAAACGTGCGCGGGCAAATGCGAAAGTAGTCGACGACGCGCGACTGCGGCGACGAGGTATTTTCAACGGCGAATTCGCGCGTGAAGCGCATGTCGGTCTGCGTGCGCCCCGGGGTATACCCGCGCGCCAGCAGTCGATGGTGGTTGTCATCGGCGGTCGCAAGATTCTTGCTGTCGTCGGTCGTAAAGGCATGGCTCAACGCGTTCTCACGGTAGAACGTCGTAGCGTCCTGCATGACGCCGAGCTTGATGCTTGGCTTCCTCCACTGGCGTAGCGGATACCGAGAAGATAGAGCAGAGGACGGTGTTGTACGTAAGGGTGTACGGCCGAGACTGCGTACACGTTGTCGCTTTTGGTCACCATGTTGGAGACGGTGAGGTTGGTCATCCATTGCCCAATCTCCGAGAGGTCTTCGTAGCTGCCATTGAAAAGGCATAGCGCGACCCCGTGTTGTCGGCAGACCGCGCGGCGGCGACTGGCGTGAGGAAGAAGTGGCCGTTCCCGAGGTAGTCGTTGAGCGTCCAGCTGTTGACGATCGCGTCGACGGCAATGACAATGACCGCGAGAAGATCGAGCGCCTGCACGCAGAGGCGAAAGGCGCGGGCGAGGTAGAAGAGCTGCGGGTAATCTTTCTTGAGCTTGACGAGCACGGACGAGCCCTCGCGGCGGTAGGCGCCCGGGGCATTTCGCTTGCTTTGACGACTGGAAAGGCGGTAACCGTTAGCTAGTCGTTGAAACCGTTTACAGAACTCGGGTACTTTGCGAGCTATTCTTTCGTGTCGCGCCGCTAACGACGTCAACAACTCGATTCAAATGCATCTTCATTAGCGCTTGAATATGGCAATCATTAACCTGGCCCACGTCGGAATCGATCCACGTACCTCCAACACCCAACCTATGAACTTAGCGATTCAATGGCGTTTGCTGGCCACGGTGCATCCTTCGATGGCACAGTGGGGCACCTCGCCAATGCTACAACCGGACCTCGCATCGATCCCTGTGGCACGAGCTTCTCATTTGAATTTGTTGGCGGCGAAACACCACCGTCCACGTTGGCGCTGCTATCTTCTTATGTCGCCGGATCTTGCCCGTCGTCCAGAAGAAGTCCCAGTCGCAAGATGCCAGCATCATTCACCGATGACGGTCCATCGGATGTAGCTGCATCGTGCTTTCCGGTGTGGTGGACTTCGGCGTACCCAGTCGGTCGCCATCTGGTCGGACTTCGCACGGGTTCGTCTCGGTGATCCGCGGATAGATCTCTAACCGTCACATTGCCTTTTCTACGCTGCCACCACCATGTCGTACTCGGGCCTCGCCTCTTTGCAATGGTACTTTACGGGTCTCTGCCACTATGGCGCGCGCGGCTACCGCAAGGCGTCGGCCACGTGGAGCGAGACGCCCGTTGACGTCTCGTCGCGCCACTACGCAGTGACCGGCGCCAACAGCGGCCTCGGCTTTGCGATCGCGACCCAGCTCGCGCAGCTCGGCGCGCATGTGCATCTGGTCTGCCGCGACGCGGGCCGCGCCGAGGCCGCGCGCAAGGCCATCGTCGACGTCTCCTCCCACGACCCGAGCAAGGTGCACGTGCATCTTGGCGACCTCGGCAAGCAGAAGGACGTGCACACGATCGCCGCATCGCTCGCGGCTGCTGCGCCGTCGCTCGACGGTCTGGTCAACAATGCCGGTATCCTCGTCAAGGAGGCGGTCTTCACCGAGGACGATGTCGAGTCGTCGATGGCGGTTGCGATCAACGGCACATACCTCCTCACGGCGCTGCTCCTGCCGCAGCTGCGCAACCATGATGACGGCGCGGTTGGCCGCGTCGTCAACATGTCGAGCGGCGGGCAGTACCTCGGGACGCTCGACCTCGTCGACGTGCGCGGCAAGACACGCGCCGGCGACAAGTTTGACGGGACGCTGGCCTACATGCTGGCCAAGAAGACCCAAGTCGCGCTCACGATGGAGTTTGCGAAGCGGTTCCCGCTCGGCAAAGACAAGGTTGCCTTCCATGTGATGAACCCGGGCTGGGCGACAACGCCCGGTACGACCGGCTCGATCGGCGGCTTTACGCGCCTCCACGGGTGGATGATGCGAACACCCGAGCAAGGGGCGGATACGGCGGTGTGGCTGTGCACGGCGCCGGAGCCCGCCACGTCATCGGGACTGTTTTGGCTCGACCGCCACGTGGTGCCCACTGAGATGTCGTGGGCCTCGACCGCGCACACGGAGGCCGACCGCAGCACGCTCTGGGCGCGCGTGGCCGAGATTTGCGGTCGCGACGCCAGTTCTGCGTGAGCTCGTGTGATCTTGTTCTCCTATTTTAACCTAATCATTGATGCATTGATGCGTATTCGCCCGGAGGACAGCAGTACACGTTCATAGTCGGACGCTGGAAGCGCAATTATTGTCTGCAAACCTGTAGACACACTAAGTTGGCACTTTTACTTCTTGAGTAAACCCCGGACATGGTCGCCATTGAGGTCGTAAGATGATCCTTCCTGGACGCTTCATTCTGGGCCCAGCCCGCTTCTTGGTCGCAGGCTGCTCCGCGCTGACCATACGCTTCCGACGGCTTCCGCCATCGAATGTCTCAAGCGCTGCGATCTTGACCGTCTCGTCTTCCTTGGGCGTTGCTGCGACGACTTGGAAATATAATCTATTCTGTTGCTATTACTAAAACGATTCGACTGAGCATGCGACGGGGTCGGTCGTGCTGTTGAGAAGCAGCGCAAGGCTGTACTTGGTCCAGCTCGGGCGTTCGCTGTGCTGGACGCTGCTGCTACTCGACGACTCGCTCGTGCTGTCCGAGATCCCGCCGTCGTCGGACAACTGCGTCATTCGCTTGTGTTTGGCGTGGCGCGAGCAGTGGCCGCCCGACCGTGCGTGGGTCGTGCAGCCTTCAAAGTGGCACGGCCGGCCGCCGCCATGGCGCACGCACTTGTGCTTGGACTGCGCGAGGCGGGCACAGCCGGGCTCGATGCAGTGCTTCTTCGAGCCCTTGGCGCCATGCCGGCAGCAAAAGCCGCGCCGGTGCGCGTTGGCGCGGCAGCCGTCAAAGCTGCAGAGCGGCCGGCCGCCATGGCGCACGCAGAGCTTCCTTGCAAACACTTGGTTGGAGCAGTCGGGCATTGAGCACTCGGACCGGTTGCGGTGAAAGTCGCACTTGGTCGAGCCCGGCAGCACGGGCTGGTGGCACGAGTTGAATTGGCACTGCATTTTGCAAAGTGAAAAGTGCAATAGCAGTCATGGGTGCGTTGTCGGTTGTAACAAGAAATTCATCTTTCGGATAGTCGGTTGTGTCGGGTTATTATCCCTTGTATCCTATTATTGTTTGTGGGAGGTTTGAACATACGTAAACCGTATGCAAAAGAGACTTGTAAACATGCAATGTGACAGAATATAAAGTTAGGGAGGAAGATACCACCGGCTACAAACGCGCACGCGTCGTGGCCACAACCGCTTGCACTGATCGCGACGGCGTTCGTGGTTGGCAATAATGAGTGATAAGCTTAGTCGTTTAGGTTGCTGTATGATGTAGAGCACGACTCGGTATTCCACTCGATAATGGTTTGGTTGTCGAGGCGGCGTGGATCGATCGGACAGGCCACGAGCAGCTTGGACGGTAGTACACGGTACACGAGTCGACTGAATCCAAAAGCACTGCATTTTGGCGCTGGACGCATGGGTTGTGCGAGTATCAAGGGGCCTTGTGGGTGGTCGTCATCATTCCGAATGCACATCCTCGGGCGGACCGTCGCAAGGGAGTGAAATTTGCGAGCAAGCAACTCGCGATCGCGCGCAGTTGGGATACGATTTGCTTTGGAGTTGATAGCAACGGAAGATGGCGGTTCCATCAAGCGGGTTTCGCCACGACTAGGAGTGTCAGTTGCGTACTTGCAGAGTCTCTCCTCGGTGTTTGCGCCGTGCTTGGTCGTTGAACTCGAAATATATTTGCCACCCTGGTCTTCCATAGCGCGAAAATTTGATGGTCGATGGGCCAAACAACACCCGAGATACCTTGATTCTTGCCACCGTGGTGGTAGTCTCAAGACTCAAAGGAGCGTTGCCTGGCGCAGCATTGCTCTCAACGAAATGCGATATATTGCGGCTTATCTGCGATTCTGGCCGTGCGCTCTCGTGGTGCCGACTTGACTTCGGCTGCAAGACCAACCGGCCGTAATATAGTATGTAAACGTGGGATAGCTGCATGTACCTAGGATCGAAGCTCCTCCGTCATCCACGCCCGAGCTGCCATCCACGATTGACTAAGACGACGGCACTGCAGTCGCGCGACGGTGGCCACCGGTTGTGTGGACACTGTGGACACGCTGGCGCCCGCAGAACCTGCCAAGAAAATGCAATGTTGGCCAGTTGGTTCGCCCCCAAGTACGTAAACGCGGGCGGTTGCAGCACGACCAGAATCTCAGTCCACGGGCGTGACTACCACGGGGTCGACACCGCCATAAACGGGCCAAACGTGCTATATTCTTGAGGCGCGTGATGATGGTAGCTGTCCATTTCGTGCTCGAATTACGCACAAGTAGTGTCCAGGAGCGAGATGCCACAGTCAGGATGGGCCTTGGAACCGACGCCAAGAGCAAAAGCTAGTCGGCTTGCTTGCGGCACGGCACGTGAGAAGGGACCTCGCGCCGACGAGGAAGGTCAAGCTTTGTGGACGTTTAACAACCGTCGTGCACCAGCCGACGGAGATTCCACCCGCGATGACTGCCAGCTGGCCGCTTGATAAGCCGATAGGTAATGGCGCACGAAAATGGTTTGCCGTCGAATTCCCTTAGGTAGTATGAGTTTGCTGTTCTGAAACCGCCGGCAAGTCGGTGCCAGCGCCTCCTCACGCGTCGAGTGCGAATTCCCAGCAACCTTGGTAAAAGCAGAGGCGCCAAAGTCGCCGCAATATCGACCGCACTCGCATCGGCAGGGGCATGTACTTGGATAGGGCAAGAGTGTCGAGCCCCACAACCAACTTCTTGAACGTGGCGCAGCATGGCGGGCGGCAGGTGGACGGGACTCATAACTCGCAGGTGCATCCCACTGCGCACCTGCCACGACAGAAGAAATGTCAGGCTCTGTCTCTACGCCGTCGCTTGCCTTCGCCAGTCTTCGCCGTGCATACAAACACTTCAGTGGCCAATTTGACGCGAAAGCATGACCAAGTGTCGCTTCAACGCGTGCGAAGAGGCTGCGATGGCCAACTCGACCAAGTGTTACTTCCACCGCAGCCGCGGCCATTGCTCCGTGCAGGGCTGCAAGAACCAAGTGTTTGCACGCCACTTGTGCGTGCGCCACGGCGGCCGACCGCTCTGCAGCTTTGAAGGCTGCTACGGCAACGCCCGTCTCCGCGGCTTTTGCTCCAAGCACGGCGCCAAGGTCCCGAAGAAGCTTTGCTCGGAGCCTGGCTGTACCAAGATGGTGCAGTCCAAGCAAAAATGCGTGCGCCATGGCGGCGGCCGCCAATGCCGCATGGACGGCTGCACGACGTACGCCCGCCTCGGTGGCTACTGCTCGCGCCACCACCGAGTGCGCACCGACGACGCGTCGTCGCCGACTGCTGCATCGCCCCACGAGCCCATGATGCCCCCCACCAACTTCTATAGCCAAGGCGCCGCGCCCCCGTACTATTACCCGTCCGACCATCGCCACAGCAACAGCAGCCCCAGCAACACCAAGCCCGAGGCAGACGTGGCTGACCACCGGTGGTGGCCCAGTGCCGACTACACCGCACCGACCGCGTACCACTTTGCCGAGGCGGCGTACACGCCCGTGTTCCGCTACGACCCGCCACGGGACCCGAATGCGTGGACGTTTTCCGTTTAATCCATTTTATCTAAGACTACCATTAACAGCTACATGAAGATCATGTTGTCACTTCCTTGGACTGCCGCGACTTCAGTTGCGACCCCAATCAGGCTTAGTTCCACCCCAAAAATGGCTCCCGATCTGGCATGCTGTTTGCTTTGAAATGGCGGGACGTCTCGTGCTCGAGGTCAAGGCAGCGTCAACTGCAGCCTCTGCCCTGCGGAGTCCTGTGTTCAGTGAGAGGCGACGACTGCGGACGCAAGGCTCGATACATTGATGCGACATCTTAGCGGAAGCGCGGCGGGCCGCCATGCGTGTTCCACAGAAGAATCCGTCGGTCCCACGAGCACGACGCCAACAAACCTATGCAGTCATGGATCAAGCCAAAATGCTATCCGTTGTATCCAAATCCATCATGAGGTACCTGGCACGAAGAGGCTAAAGTCGATGCCCATGACAAACTCGCTGTGGTGCGTCGCCACTTGCTACATGCGTCCGCGTCACCTTGGTTGGTCCAAGCCACTCGTACCGTCTGCGGATGCAGCGCCTTGGTGTCCCAGAGCCGCACCGACATGTCGTAGGACGCCGACGCGACAACGTCCGGCGCATGCGGCGAAAACTTGACCTTGCGGACGGCGTACTGGTGGCCGCGCAGAACGCGCACCTCCATCTCGGGGTTCCGAATGTCCTACTCGATAACGACATCGATGAATGCGGATAATCGCTCGATGGACGTACCCAAATCTTGAGGCTGCCGTCGACAGACCCCGTCACGAGCTGGTTCGGGTCGTACTTGCTCCAGTCCAAGGCGAGGACCTCTTGGGCGTGCGCAGCGATGCGACACACCGACGCGCCCGAGTTGAGATCCCATAGCCGCACCGCGCCGTCGCCCGAGCACGACGCGAGCATCGAGTTGGTGTGGACCGACCACACGGCGTTGTAGACGGGGCCGGTGTGGCCTTGCAGCGTTGCAATCGAGTGGGGTCGCTGCGGCGTCCAGACCTTGACGGTCGTGTCCCAGCTGCCCGAGCAAAAGTGCGTCCGGTCAACCATGTTCCAGTTGACGCTACTCGCCTCCATCGCATGCTCGGCGAACGTCTGGATCGGGAAGTTGTCGGTCGTCGTGACGTCCCACAACTTGAGGTGGCCGTTCGCACAGGCGCTCACGAGCTGCGTCGCATGCGTCTCACTCCACGCCACGTCGTAGACACCGTCTTGCGTATCAAAGGCGCGCATCTACCAGATTGCCTCAGCGCGCCATCGTAGCATATACGCATACCGGCGTGAGGTCGCCGCTGGCCTGCAGCTCCATGACGAGCTGCTGCCCGTTGCCGATGATACCAAAGTACTGCGCGCTCCCGACTGCGAGCCAGTGCTCATGGAAGGGAGAGAACTCGACCTAGAGACAGCGGGCATGAGGCGCGCCGAGGCCATGGCGGCGGCTACCGCGTAGCAGCTAAAGTCGGCGATTCCTTGCCGCGGCTGGACAAACATTGGGCTTTGTGCTGTGTTGACAAGACGCAGTATCCGGATCCGGTTGTACTTGGCTAAAGGCACGCCATTTACAAAGCTCGGCGGAGTTGGCGACCGGGTTGTCAAATATGAGTATGAGTTATTACCCTTCTTTTGAGTCTACCGCGGATAGCTATCCAAGAGAGTGTTGGTATGGTTATAGCTTGGCGCTATTGTCATGCAAGGCACGGCGGTTGCGAGGCTCTTTGCCAGCCGTGGCTTAACGGAATCGCCGTCGTAGTTTAGCTTGCGTCGTTGTCGCTCGCTGCAAGCACCTCGTCGCTGGTGCTTGTTTCCGGTTGCAGTGTAGTAGCATCAAGGCATGGTATCAAGGGAATACTGTAGATCGTTTTCAGGGCACGCCGAGCTCAGCGCTACCGTACGCAAGGCTGGTGCTCGGTACGCAGAGTGGACCAGCTTGCACCCAAGAAGAGAGGGTCCGTGGGTTTTGGCGTAGTATCAAGCCACTGCTGAATGGAGTATGGAGCCCAAGACACTCCTCATGCGTACTAGGTCGTCTCTCTTGCGTGCGGCCTTCGGCTGTCCGGGCTGGCAGCGATTGCATGGAACCCGACCTCGTGCGTGCTGCCACGTGGGGGTTGATCCGGATACGATGTCCGGACAGATTCCATTCCAGCAACCGGATGTCGCGATTGACTTGCATTTTGGAGCTGGACGCCATGTTCAAGAAGCTGGGGTTCGGCCGCCGGACGACCGCGGCGCCTGTGGACGTGCAGCCTGCCGCGGAGCCGCTGCCCGTCCTCGCCGCCATCGACGACCGGCCCTCGACCTTTGGCAACGTCGCGCAGCTCACGGCGGACGAGGCAACGGTTGCGCCCGAGGACATGGCAGCGCTTGAAGGCATCGACTTTGACGGTACATTGCGCGACGCGCTTCCATCTCTCTCACATGGCCTCTAGTCGATGTGAACGCTGTCGACATGGCGATCGAGGCGCCGCCGGTCGCGGACCCTGGCAGCGACTGGAATGGTTGCGGCGGGTGCCCCGTCTCAATGATCACCGACGGCTTTGTGCCGCCCCGCTTCACGTTTGGCTGCAGCAAGAACGCCGACGAGCGCTGGGCGAGCACGCTCACGTGGCGCAGCGTGCACCAGATCGACCACATTCTGCACACGCCGCGACTGCATTTTGCGGTCATCAAGGCGCACTGGTCGCACTTCTTCTGCGCTCGGACGCGCACGGACAACAAGAATCTCGTCGTCTACGAGCACGTCGGTGGCTTGAACAAGGCGCTCGCGGTGCTCGAGGCGCAGCACAGCATTGCTTTCGCAGACGTCATGGCCCACTACCTCTTCCTCACCGAGTTTCAGTGGGCGCGGCTCGACACGCGGCCGTTCGACAAGGCGGCGCCGACCGTCGGCCAGATGGTCAAGATCCTCGACTTCCACGGCATGGCGCTCGGTGACTGCAAGAACGCCGACTTTCGCACATTTGTCTCGTGGACCATGCGCACGATTGGTACACGCTTCGATCCTCGAACTATTTCTTTTTTATTTCTGCATCATTTTTCGCGTAGGCCAGCACTACCCCGAGCGCTGCGCGGCCATCTACATCATCAACACGCCGCCATGGTTCAACACGTTTTGGCTCGTCATCCAGCGCTTGATCAGCGACGTCACCAAGCAGAAAATCCGCATTTGCCCGGCGCCCAAAGACTACGTACGCCGCCTCACCGCATGGCTTGGCCCCGAGCACCTTCCCGCCGTCCTCGGCGGCAGTGCGACGATCGACGGGACAGCACACTTCTCCGAGGACGAAGCCACGTTGCACGCGTATGTGCAAAAGCACCTCACGGCCTAGTGCCCGACAGTATGCACAATATTGGCATCAACAATACTACTATGCATCGAGTCAGAAGACGACTATGTATTGCAAGCCGAGAGGCGCGTCGGGTCCATCTGCTGGCTCCGGCGAAAAAAGTTGGGGCCCCTTCGCGACTGACTCTGCTTGATCGGGATCTTGCGGTCCATGGCTTCGTGCGAGCACTCGAAATCGTGGCGGCCGACAACGCTTGCCCGTCGCCGGCGCTGGATGACGTGCGCTTCGAGGTCGCTGAAGCGTTCGTCGCGCTCCGAGGTTTTCTACGGTGAAGCTTTCGTAAAAACAAATAATAATGAAAATGCAGACAATTTCATCGGGCGCCACGGGCTCGGGATTCCGTTGGTAGAGCTCCGCAATGCGCTCCATGGACCGAAGGATCTCGCCAAAGTCGGGTCGCTTGTCCATGTCAACGTCCCAGCACGCCGTCATGAGCTCCTTGTACAGCTCGGGCGTTGGGTTGGTGAGGTCGGCCGGTCGTAACCCTACCCCTGGTTTGAAAGGCCACCGTTAGCGATGCAAGTACCTTCTTGGCAAACGAGCAGCGGGACTTGAAGCGGGTTCATGCCTTGGTACGGGTCCTTGCGCTCGATCATTTCCCAGAGCACGACGCCAAAACTAGTGGAACGTTTAACTATGCGTTGAAAACACAGTGGGACCTGTAGACGTCGGCCTTTTCCGTGTAATTGTCATGGCGAATGACTTCGGGGGCGGCCCTACAATATAATTGTCTTCTTGTACAAGATTGTCTCATAATCTCTCGCACGTACCAGAATGGGGTGCCCACAAATGTATACTCGCCGTACATCTTGTCTTTATAGCGCGAGAGGCCAAAGTCGGCGACCTTGACGACCAAGTGGTCGGACACGAGGAGGTTCTTGGTCTTGAGATCGCGCTAGCCATATATCGTAAGAACACTAGAGTGGACCAAGATTGTCCATACCTGCAGAATGCCTTGCTCGTGCACGTGGTGCATGCCGTGAATGATGTCCAAGGTGCAATTGAGCACCAACGGCATCGGGATAATGTTGTTTGGGTCCCGCAAATATTCGTAGAGCGACCCTAGCACATGTCAAGTTCGTAGTTTCTACTATGTTGAAATTGAGCTCAAATACCGTTGGCCATGTACTCCATAATGAGCACATAGCAGCTCGACGTGAGACTCGCGCCAATCAAATGCAGTACGTTCGGGTGGTTCATGCGGCTCATGACCCAAATCTCTCGGCGAAAGTTCTTGATCGCTTCCTCGAGGCCTTCCTGGTACGTTTCCCGGGGCATGAGCAGCTTGACGCCGACCTGGCATTGCCTCAGCTACTACTGCCTTTGCCGCAGGGCAAGGTACCCGCGTGTTGCGCCATACGCCGGCGTAGACTTCACTGAGCGGCCCGATCGCGACGCGCTTGACGAGGCGGACTTCTGCCAGCTTGACTTCGTACACGGACGCAAACACGTTGTCGGCGACCTTGAAGCTCACGTTGGAGGTGAGACTGGCCCTAGCAAGCAGAGACAGATGCAGGTTTGGCGTCGGTGCAAGCGGCTACCGGCGCATCGTCAGGAGCTTGTGGACTTTGTCTTGCTCTTGCTGGACGCGGATCGAGTTGGGCGCGACCGCCAGAATCGCATTCTCCTCGTACGTGGGCTTGGTAAAGAGGTCGGACGTGTCGTGGTGCGTCATGAGCTTGTTCGTGATCTTCTTCTGGAGCTTCTTGACGCTAAGTCCACACGGCTAAGTGCCAAAGAGGTTCGGCAGGCGCACCGCGAGTGCTTGCCGAGGAAGGACGAGAGCCCGTTCCGCGCAGCGAGGAACGCTATCCCGTGCTTCTCGTTGTTCTTCTTGCTCTGGATCTGCGCGCTGTCAATGTCCTTCCGGATCATCGTCTCGGAGATCGACACCATGTTCTTGGCTTGGATCTTGCGCAAGAGGCGGCGCTGCTTCGCCCGCGATAGGACGCAGCGTACGATTGGCACGAGAAGGACGAGCAGGAGAAGCGCCAGTAGCAGGTACATGTCGAGGACGAGGCACGTCGAGTCGGCGCAGTGCTCGGCCGAGAAGACGTACTTGACCGCCATGCCTGCGACTACGATGGCGGTTCCAGCTCTGCCACGCTCGGCCAAGAATAGCAACCAAGAACGTACTGGCATGGTCATAACGGCTTGCGACATGCTACGATGATGGACGGTCATGTGCGAAGTGTGACGGGCCGCGATAACGGCGACGGGCGCCAGGAAGGGGCGTGGACGCCATGGACGGGCCATGAGGTCGACGGCCGCGATAGGCCATGGCGGCGTGCTTCAACGGTCGGCGAGCATGAAGAGGGAGTACAGGGTAATACAAGGTGCATTAAGGAGATTGACTAGCTTACGGAATCTTCTTCTCGACGATCGCGGCGCCCGAGGGGTCGGTGCCAAAGATCTCAATGTGCTGCACCTTGGGCATGCCCCACGAGGTCGTCGAGGTCACAAAGACGCGGTCAATGCGGCTGCCGTCCTTGCCGTTGATCGTCATGAGCGCGACGGGCTTGCCATCGACAAGGTGGAAGTCAATGACCTTGTCGGGCAGCGACGCGAGCACGACCTTGAAGTGACCGGGCTTGCCCTCCATGGGCGACACGTTGACGCCGTACGCCGTGTTGCGCTCGACCATGTTGAGGCCCTCGCGCGGTACGCCCGCGTTCTCGAACATGATCCAGTCGACCTTGAGCGGGTCGGCCGCGTTGATCGAGCCGTCGGCGAGGAGGTTGGCCGCGTACGAGACCACGTTCTTGTTCTTATTGCGGTGGATGACGAAGGCGAGGTTGGGCTCATGGCTCGCGCGGACCGTGGGCACCGGGTCGTGCTGCACTTGGGCGTAGTCGAGGGACATGCTGCTGCTGCTTGAGATGCTGGCAAATGCGAAATGAGCTGCGGGCAGGATGGTCCGTGGACGCGCTCCGTTGGTTTCAGACAGGTGCGCGATTCAAATGCATATTTTCTACATGTAAATTCCAGATTATGCCGTCTTTCTGTACTCAGTATGGGGTCAACATATGCACTTTAGTAGCTAACATAGGAGAAGAAGCCCATGCGTTTGGGACGATCTTGGTCGGCCATGTGTACGCTTCAAATGCATACTTTATACTTGCTGTTTGTATTGAATGGAATAGATATACAAATAGCAAGAGAGATCGATGCCAAAGAAGCACGCAAGTGGGATCTCGTGACGTGGAGCCGTTGAAACCGGATAACGGACGTTACGTGGCACTTGGTGTTTGTATGGGTGGGGCAAGCATCCGGATAGGCGGAGATTTGGCGAACGGACTTTGCGGTCGAACGTCGATATCGAAGAAGACGGGAAGAAGCGCGGTCGACGATGGAGGATGGAGGAAGGTCGAGGAAGAGCGAGGTCGATGGGTCCATGAGTCGATGGGTCGATGGGGCGATGGCGCTGGACATGCGAGGTAGACGCTAGTAGCGTCTACCTCGCGCATCACGCTACGACGACGGAGCGGATGAGGTACGGAGCGCAGCAACGGGATGGGCGACGGGATCGAACGTGGGGCCATTACGCACAGCCAAGCCTGCCACGCGTCGCGTCGCCATGCGCCTGCTACGCGTCCTGGCGATGGCTTGGTACAAATAGCTTGGTCGGATGATGGCGATAGGACCTTCCTCGCATCATCTGCGATGCTACAGCCTGCAGGACGCAGGCCATTACGCGCCGCCGCAGCGCGCATGTACTGTCCGATGTATGCGATGCTAGTACTACTGCATGATGTACGAATCGTCTACCATTACGAGAGCATCTACTCGAAGGCGACGACGCTAAAGCGCTGGTTGATGGCGTTGGCATAGCACGTCCAGACCTGCGCCGCCGAGTTCGCGTCGGTCGGGTCGACGTCCAAGCACAGGTTTGGGTGCGTCGCGTGCTTGATCTGGCCGTTGCCGACGATCCACTTTTGGTTGGCGTTGTTGGCGTCGCAGCCGTACGTGTGCAGCTTGTAGCTACTGCCGGCTTGATACGCGTCAAGACACTGCCCGTTGCTGTACGACCGGAGACCGCCGCCCGCGACTTGCTCCCAGAGCTCGGTCCAGCCGCCATTGGGCGCCTTTGCGAGCACCGACGTGTACCACTCGGAGACGACGCGCTGCGTGGAGGTCGTAAGCTGCACAAAGCTGCGGACGGTCGACGAGCTCTGGCAGTTGGATGGCGAGATCCACTGGCGCACGGCGCTAACGTCGCAGCGGGCCACGCCGATCGCGGTGGCACCAGATACTGTCGTGAGGCAGACGCCGTAGGTGCGGTGCTGCACTTGGCCGTTGGCGATCGTCCAGCGCTGGTTGGCGTTGGATGCGTCGCAGGCGTACGTGTGGAGGTGGTAGGACGCGCCGCCGTCACTGCTCCACGTGTCGAGACACTGGCCGTTGCTGGCGACGCGGACCGCACCGGTCGATGGGTCGTATGTCCACTGCTCGTTCGCGCTAAAGCTCGGGGACCCGTAGTAGACACCCGAGTAGTACTCGAAGACGGCGCGGTTCGAGACGGTGCAGAGTCGAATCGGCGTCAATGTCGGCGTCGGTGTAGGTGTCGGCGTCGGTGTGGGCGTCGGCGTCGGTGTAGGCGTCGGTGTCGGCGTCGGTGTCGGCGTCGGTGTAGGCGTCAGCGTCGGCATGATGCTGTTGGGCGGCAGCGGGATGCCGTTGGTCCGCAGATACGCGAGGATGCTTGCGATCGGGATGCCACCGTTGGATGTTGTCGCGGCGTTGCAGCCGCCGCAGTTGTGGAGCGCAATGACGCTGTTGTCCGTGGTGCTCAGGACCGGCGAGCCCGACGAGCCGCCTTGCGTGTCGAGGAGGTACCCGACCTCGTTCATCTGGCAGCTGTTGGGCACGTTCAGCGACACGATCGAGCCTGTCGCGCTGCCTTCGACCACTGTCGCAATGCGCAGTGGGTTGCCGCCCGGATGGCCGACGAGCCAAACGGGCTCGTTGAGCACGGTGGCGCTCTCGCGTGCCTGGAGGTACCCATAGCTGGACACGTCGACGCCCGCGTTGAGATTGAGTTTGAGAAGCGAAAAGTCCAACTCGGCGTTCGTCGCGACCAGCGTCGCGCTCGACGCGACAGTCGTGCCCTTGCACGCGAGCTGCACGTTGTTGCTCGGGTCGTTGCAGGTCGCGCAGGCCGCGCCGAGCTCGACCGACGTTTTCGCGGCGACCGCTGCTGTCGGGACGCAGTGGTTGTTGGTGAGCAGGTGCCCGCTCGAGCCAAAGAGCCAGCCGGTGCAGAGCGTGGAGCCACTCATGAGCAGCCGTGCGACGGCCTTGGACGCCTTGGTCTTGGCTGCATCGCTCACGTAGCACGCTGCCGGCTGCGAGGCGTCGCCCGTCGACGTGCAGATGGACTCGGCACTACCGCCTGCGCCGCCTGCAAAGTACGTGTCGATCGTCACGATCGGCGCGCTGCTGCCGGTCGAGTACGTCGGCGATGAGTAGTTGAGAAGAAGGCGCGGCTGCGTGAAGACGGCCGAGTAGACGTCGTCGAGGTCGCCCGTGTACACGACTTTGTCGCGGCCGTCTTCGGTACCGATCGTCAGCGTTGCGCCCGGCGGAAGCCGCATCGACGCAATGTGCACCGAGAGCGACGTCGCGCGGTCGCTCGAGAGGACCTGCGTCACGGGACCGCTGCCGTTGAGCGTGAGCGAGATGGGCATTGGGGTGCTAAACTGCAGCGGCGTCTGCGCATCGACGGCC